AGGTGACTCTGATATCATTAGAAGCATGCCAGAACAGACTGGTGAAAAGTAAATCATGTACATTTTTTCTTTAATAAAACTTGCTAGAGCTTGTTTTAAAACAGTGTATCCATTTTATTTATGTCTTTGTTTTAGTACACTTGTCTGCAGGTAGTTTTTGAGAGAATGGGATGGCTGAATGTGGTGGCCAAACTTTCCAGAGAAGAGTTAAACATTACAGTTTCCATTGTTCCATCTTAGTAAAGGGAGTACACTGAGTTTCCTTTCTAGTTTTTAAGAGACTTAATTTGTGTAATTCCAATCTCAGGGCATTGTTTGCATTTTATATTTTGAATATTTTTGAGAGGCATTAAGGTTAAATGCCCAAAATTTAACCAGAAGTACATCTTGCCAAGTTTGTAGCAAAAAGGATTAAGTGAAATGTTTCCTCACCCAAAATGCTATCAGGCTGAGAAAAGTTTTGTTGAACCTTACTGAAGAGAGGTCTTTCCATAAGGTTGTATACTGGATGTACTTGGATGACTTCAAAATAATCATTACCCAAGTATGTTTTATATCATATGTCCTGAAAGATGTACTGTGACGTATATTTGGTGTTTAAGATTTTTGGAAACTGCATCTTGCATTTCCCAAGAGTACAAGTTGTCCCCAAGTTACAAACATCCGACTGACATACAACTTCTGCTTGTGAATGCAGGCTATTATGGTAAGTCTCCAAGTTAACAAACATCTGACTGGTGTATGGCTCATACTTACAAGTGGAAGCTATTATAGGTTAGAGGTAAATGTAACTGTTTCAACTTAAGAACCTATCTTATTTGGAACCTGGTGACTAGCTATAACTCTTCCCCATATGTGTTAACATCCTTTGGAACATTCAAAGGAATCGGTCTGGGGGTGTTGAATGGTGCTGGTAGGGTATACCCCCTGCAGTCTGCTGATCTTTGAGGGAGGCTACAGAAGTATCAGAAATGGTAGTGTATTTGGGTTTTAGAATCAGTCTCTCTTCCACCTACTTTCTCTCAATCAATTTGGATGGTAGATGAATGTGATGTAAGATAGGATGATGCCTTCTGTATACCATCCAGAAAATCAAATATGTACTGCAGTTGGAGTTAGGACTCAGCTCTTATATTTTTCTCCTGAGAGAGTCAATCTCAAAACTCACGGGCTCAAAGAAGTCCTGAATAGCTGGGACTACAGGTGCCTCTCACAATGTCTAGATAGTTTTTGTATTTTTAATAGAGACAGGGTTTCACTCTTGCTTAGGCTGGTCTCAAACTCCTGAGCCCAACTAATCCACCTGCCTCAGCCTCCCAGAGTGCCAGGATTATAGGTGTGCGCCATGGCACCCTGCCTAAAACTTAGCTCCTAATAGCTGTATGACATCCATGGGTGGGTTATGTTACCACATTGACAGGTGAGAGAGTTGGTTTCTCTTGAGATAGTATGTCATGATTTTACTTTGTGTCTGAGGTGGATCTACTCTGGAGGATTGATTTTCAACTGGTGTGCTGTGAAAATTTTTAAAGATCATTAAGTTATTTTCTTTTTTTTTTTTGAGACAGAGCCTCAAGCTGTCCCCCTGGGTAGAGTGCCGTGGCATTACATCTTACAGCAACCTCCAACTCCTGGGCTCAAGCGAGTCTCCTGCCTCTGCCTCCCAAGTAGCTGGGACCACAGGCGCCCGCCACAACGCCCGGCAATTTTTTGGTTGCAGCCGTCGTCGTTTGGCGGGTCTGGGCTGGGGATTCGAACTCGCCACCTAAAAGTTCAGGCTCGGCGCCTGTGGCTCAAGTGGCTAAGGTGCCAACCACATACATCTAAGTTGGGTTCGAATCTAGCCTGGGCCCACCAAAAACAACAATGACGGCTGCAACCAAAAAATAGCCGGGCGTTGTGGTGGGCGCCTGTGGTCTAAGCTACTTGGGAGGCTGAGGCAGGAGACTCGCTTGAGCCCAGGAATTGGAGGTTGCTGTGAGCTGTGATGCCACAGCGCTCTACCCAGGGAGATAGTTTGAGGCTCTGTCTCAAAAAAAAAAAAAAAGTTCAAAGCACAGTAAGTTTATATTCTTTATTTTGATCCACATAATTTAAGTGTGCTGTGAGATAAAAATGGTTGAAAGATAGAGTCTGACTGTTACTGGAGTTTCAGTTAATTCAGTATTTCTCAATTTGAGACAGTTCTTTGTTGTGGAGTGCTGTGAATAAATACTACAAGGGAATTTTCATTCTTGGTTTTTCCTAACATGTTATTGTGACATTAAGCACCCCAAAATGTCATCCCCCCATTTTTTTAAAAAAATGTAATTATTATGGGTAGGGTATGTGTTATATTCTGATGTATGTATATAGTATGTATTAATTAAATCAGGGTAACTAGGGTATTCACTTAAGCATCTCATTTTTAAACTGGCATCTCCCCTGTTTACAAGACACTGAGTTGTTACAATTATAAATGTTCTAAAGATTCATGTTTATATATATCTAGAGACCAGTGTGCCCAAAGTGATACATGTTTGAAATCTTTGGTAAGAATTGCTTGGTCTTCGAAAGATTTGATTATACAAGCTACTGGTTTCTGACACTAACACTGTCTGTTTCCCTAGTTTGAAAATTTTTATTACAGTTTCTCCCACAAGTGAACTTAACACACTTTTTGGGTTATTTTTTCCTCTAAGGTGACTAGCTGTAATTTAACTTCTTAAATGGTGGTACCTGAAGAATACCTTATTACAGATGGCCAGTGTACTATTTTTTAAATTTTTTAATTATAGGTACATGATAGTTGTGTATTTTTTTTTTTTTTTTGGAGACAGCCTCAAGCTGTCACCCTGGGTAGAGTGCTGTGGCATCACAGCTCACAGCAACCTCCCACTCCTGGGTTCAAGCGATTCTCCTGCCTCCGCCTCCCAAGTAGCTGGGACTACAGGCGCCCACCACAGTGCCTGGTTATTTTTGGGTTGCAGCCCTCGTTTGGCAGGCCCAGCCTGGATTTGAACCTGCCAGCTCAGGTGTATGTGGCTGGCGCCTTAGCCGCTTGACCCACAGGCACCACGCCAATTGTATATTTTTATAGGATATATGTGATGTTTTAACTATACAAGCATACAATGTGAGTTAATCAAAGCAGGGTAATTGGGGCATCTCTTACTTCAGGCATTTAACATTTCTTTGTGTTAGGAACATTCTAATTCTACTCAGTTATTTTTATTTTTTTTATTATTTTCTGAGACAGAGTCTTATTTTGTCTCCCACAGAGTACTGTGCTGTCACAGCTCACAGCAACCTCAAACTCTTGGGCTTAAGCAATTCTCTTGCCTCAGCCTCCCAAGTAGCTGGGACTACTGGCGCCCACCACAACGCCTGGCTATTTTAGTTATTTTTAAATACACCCTAATTTATTACTGATGATAGTCACTTTGTTGTGCTATATATGAAATATTATTCATTCCATTTTTCCACCCACTAACCATTTCCTCCTTTATTACCTGCCTCCCACTACCCATGTTCTCCAGTTCTATCCATGTTGTGAATGGCAGAATTTCTTTTTGTGGCTATGTATCATTCCATTGTGTATATGTACAATTTCTTTTTTTGTGTATGTGTACTACAATCTGAGATTGATTCCCTATCTTGGCTGTTATGAATAATGCTGCAACAAACAATAAGAGTGCAGAAAATTTTTGATAAACTGAATTCTTTTCTGAATATTCAGAAGAATTGCCAGGTCACATGGTAGTTCTATCACTTTTTTTCTTTTTTGGGGACAGAGTCTCACTATGTCATCCTTAGTAGAGTGATGTGGCGTCTTAGCTCACAGCAACCTCAAACTTTTGGGCTTAAGCAATTCTTTTGCATCAGCCTCCCAAGTAGCTGGGACTACAGGCACCCGCCACAATGCCCAGCTATTTTCTTGTTGCAGTTGTCACTGTTTGGCTGGCCCGAGCCGGCTCAAACCTGCCAGCCTTAGTGCATGCGGCTGGCACCGTAACCACTGCTATAGGCGCTGAGCCTACTATCAGTTTTTTGAGGGAACCAGTGTACCATTTCTTTGCAACGTTTCTTCTGTTGCATGGTTTGGGGGCTGCAGACATTTGGGAATGATGGCTTGTCAAAAATTTATGATTTTTAAATGTTCTTTTCTGATTATAATGAAAGCAAGGGTGTTTCAGTAGTTCAGGGTATTGTGGGGAACTCTACCCTATTGGATTTACTCCACACTTAAATACTGAATTTTTAGATGTGGAGATAGAAGTCCTAAAGAAGTGAGATACTATGGAGTGTGTTATGAGTCGGTATGGGATGGTGGCAGGAGCAAAAGGAGTATAGAGAAGAAACCACCTTTTAAGCCAATCATGAATGCAGTTAGTTGGGTCATCTGTTTCATGGAAAGCTGCTTTCTCATGGATCCGCTGTGTTGTTACTGCTAACTACCCCTTAGACTTGCTCCCTCTGCCTATAGTAGCACCTGCTTCTCTGCTCCCTCTTTTCCAGGCTAGAACAGGTACCTCTGAGTTACCTTAGGATTTTTTTATGGCCTTTTAAATCACAATTGTCTCACTAAACTAAGTCCCTAGAGGACAAGAACTCAACATATGTTTATGTCACTCATCAAAAATCAGAGCAATTAGGCTCGGCATCCCGTTGCACAGTGGTTACGGCCTGGGTTGGAACCCAACCTGGGTCAGCTGAACAACAATGACAACTGCAACAAAAAATAGCTGGGCATCGTGGTGGATGCCTGTAGTCCCGGCTACTCGGAAGGCTGGGACAAGAGAATTGCTTGAGCCCAAGAAAAGAGCAAATAATGATTTTTAGGGCCTAAAAATTTACCTTTTGTTAGTAGTTCTTCACTATTTTGTGCATTTACCATTATGTAATTTACTGCTTCCTACTTGTTTGCCTTTAAAGATAATTTTAGAGGTAAGAATCTGTCAGGATATTTTTCTCAGGTAAGCAAAGAATTCATTATATCCTTACATTCACTCAGCATACACTCAACCCAAGCACCATATCTTTGTTTCTAATATTCTTCACTGGAGAATAAAAATACAACAGCTAATACTGAGTATTTAAAATGTTTTACTAAGTACTATCTATGTGAGCTCATTTAAATCTCTTGACAACCTGTTGAAGTAGAACTGTTAGCACTATTTTGCAGATGGAGTCAAGGCATGGAAAGGACACAATAAATGATGTAAATGGAATGTAAAATCCTTACATTGAAACGTGCAGGTGGCAAAAATAAAACAAATACTTCAAATTTCAGGCAGTCTTCAAGTATCCTAGATTAACCTGTAAATTTTGAATAATATTGCAAATTAATTTGCAAAAATTTGAAAGCTTTTGTTTTCCAGGAAATCCCCCCACCCCACCCCAAGTTGGAGGAAATGTATTTAACAGCCGGGGGTAGAGGGGCGGCTTTTTGAGCCACTAGAGGGAGCTTGAACACAATAGAAAGTGAAATAGAATTGACCAAGTGGAAGCAATAAGCAATGCCTGAACGAATACAGTCAACAATGAACTGCATTTATGATGCTGGCCCTGTAAGATTGTAAGAAAGCTAAGATTCCTTTTCTATGTTTAGATATACATAGATACACAAATAACCACTGTGTTAACAGTTGCCTGCCAAATTCAGTACAGTAACGTGTACAGGTTCGTAGCCTAGGAGCAATTGGTCCTACCATATAGCTTAGGTGTGTAGGTTATACCATCTGGGTTTGTGTAAGTATACTAAGGTTCACACAATGAAACAGCCTAATGCCTAATGACACATGCCTCAGAATGTATCCCCATTGTTAAAGGACGCATGACTATCTTAAAGTCAGCACAAACAACACTACTTCCTAATGAAAACCTGTGTTTTCAGACTCAAAAGGCGTATCCAAGTATAAATAAAAACTCAAGGTGTAATACTTTGAGTCACAAATTTTATAACTAGAACGAACTGATTTTCAGATAAAGTTGAGGCCTAGGATATAAGCTATCATTTGACAGTGGCTTCCATGGGAAGAACATTTTCGACTCTTATTTTGAGATAAGAGTCTCAGTCTTCACTGCATCTTCAAACTCCTGGGTTCAATTGTCCTACCTCAGCTTCCTGAGTAGCTGGGACACAACGGGCACGTGCCATTATGCCTGGCTAATTTTTTTTTTTTTTATCTTTAATAGAGATGAGGTCAGGTTATGTCTGTCAAGCTGGTCTTGAACTCACTGCCTCAAGCAATTCTACCTCAGCCTACCAGAGTACTAGGATTACAGGTAGGCCTTATTGGCTTTTTAAATACATCTATGTTTGAGTTTTACTATGTATTTGCATAGATTTAATGTAGCACATTCCTGTAAATAAAGTATTTCTATGGTATGAACTACATTGTTTATAGTACTGGTGATATTTTAGGTTGTTTCTAATTTGTTGCTTTTACAAACCTGGTAACGTTAATTCTCACATGCATCTCCTTGTAAGTACATGCAGTCCCTGAATTACAAAGATCTGACTTAATGTACAGCTAACACTTATGAATGGAGGCTATTATAGTAAGTCCCTGAGTTATAAACATCCAACTGATGTGAGACTTGCCCTTATGAGTGGAGGCTATTACAGATAATTGGTAAGTGCACCTGTCCCAAGGTACATACAAATTCAACTTAACAAACCTACAGAACCTATCTCATTGATAACCTGGGAACTACCTGTAATGTGCTGAAATCATCTAGTTAGATAACTGTAAGTGCAGTTGCTAGTCACAGGGTTGTATTATCAGTTTTATGAGACAGCAGATTTATTCTCCAAAGAGACTATTATTTATACTTTTTTTTTTTAAGACAGAGTCTCACTTGGTCACCCTTAGTAGAGTGCCATAGCGTCATAGCTCATGGGCTTAAGCAATTCTCTTGCCTCAGCTTCACAAGTAGCTGTGACTACAGGTGCCCACCACAATACCTGGCTACTTTTGGAGACAGGGTCTTGCTCTTGGTCAGACAGTTCTCAAACCTGTGAGCTCAGGCAGTCCACCTGCCTGGGCCTCCCAGAGGGCTGAGATTACAGGCATGAGCCACTGTGCCCAGCCTGTTACTTGTACTCTTAACTATAAAAGCCCCATATTTCCACGTGCTTACCAGTAGTCAAATACATTCATTGTTACCAAGTTGATGAAAGAAAAATACTATGTTTTAACCTGCATTTTCCTGATCACTAGTGAGATTAAACATTTTGTTCGTATGCATATTGGCTATTTTTCATGTATACATATCTTGCATTTAAAGTTAAATTAAGAATTTTACACAATACCATTCTTGAAGTGGTAAATTTTAATGTCATATAAAAAAATCCAACTTGTTACTCAAGTACATATGTCCTATGATTTTGCGCGTACATCCATATACATATATCGAGGTAAAGTCCAATACAAAAAAATAGCACTTCCTATGGCCAGTGTTCTACAGAAGTAAGACTGCAGACTTCGTCTTAAAGTGAAATGAGATTGCAACACTCTAAGGCAAGACAAGGCAGAAGCAAGTCACGTCCATGGTATATTACAAAATACCTTGCATAGCTTATTTATTCTCATGTGGTGAACTCAGAATTCCAAAAGATTTTTCCCCCCTAAAAATCATATACAAGTTAGTGTCTATTTATTGTCTTTGTTCTTAGCAAACCAGCTTTCTCCATACCGGTTATGTTTTACTTCACAACATTATTGATGTAAGCCTGAGCTTTGGGGCTCTGAACTGCTTTCATTGTAATCTTTGATGCAGTGACATTCAGATTAGGTAGAGTATTTCTAACCTTCATCTGTATCTGAGGCGATTTTCCAGGGCTTCCATTCTCTGTGTCATTTCTTCCAGTAAACCTCAAGTTAAGGAAGAGGAATCTGAATTGCCTATTTTGACTTACATTCAAATATAACTTGATCATCTACATAAAAATTTGGATCCTGAAATGTAAAAGGCTTTGGTTTGTTTTCTATTTTTTGCCAAGTATTTTAAAATGGTGACTTGTGGCTCGGCGCCTGTGGCTCAAGTGGCTAGGGCGCCAGCCACATACACCTAAGGTGGCAGGTTCGAATCCAGCCCCGGCCTGCCAAAACAACGATGATGGCTGCAACCAAAAAAATAGCTGGGCACTGTGGCGGGCGCCTGTGGTCCCAGCTACTTGGGAGGCTGAGGCAGGAGACTTGCTTAAGCCCAGGAGTTGGAGGTTGCTGTGAGCTGTGATGCCATGGCACTCTACCCAGGGGGACAGCTTGAGGCTCTGTCTCAAAAAAAAATAAAATAAAAACAAAAAACGGTGACTTGTAAGTTTATAGTAACTTGTTTTTGTTGTTTTTTTTTTTTTTAAGACAGTCTCACTCTGTCACTCTGGGTAGACTGCTGTGGTGTCATGGCTCACAGCAACCTTAAACTCTGGGCTTAAGTAATCCTCTGGCCTCAGCCTCCCAAGTAGCTGGGACTACAGGTGCCCACCCTAACACCTGGCTATTTTTTAGAGGTGGAGTCTCACTCTTGTTCAGGCTAGTTAGTCTCAAACTCCCAAGCTATCCACCAGTCTCAGCCTCCCAGCGTGCTAGAATTACAGGCATGAAACACTGCATCTGGCTCTATAGTAACTCATTTAACGTAAGATGTCATAACAAATATGTTTTAGGGTAAGCATTGTCAAAGCCATACAGTTCTGAATTTGTCTTTTTTTTTTTTTTTTTTTTTGTAGAGACAGTCTCACTTTATTGCTCTTGGTAGAATGCCATGGTGTCACACAGCTGACAGCAACCCCAACTCCTGGGCTTAGGGGATTCTCTTGCCTCAGCCTCCCAAGTAGCTGGGACTACAGGGGCCCACCTGGCTATTTTTTTGTTGCAGTTTGGCCGGAGCTGGGTTTGAACCCGCCACCCTCGGTATATGGGGCCAGTGCCCTACCCACTGAGCCACAGGCACCAACCTGAATTTGTCTTTTTAATTCCACTCTCACCCCTGTTGCTTGTAAATTAATTTGCCATAGCACATTGCTGGGAGCTAGAGAATTGATAATGTTGGGAAGCTGGTGAAGAAAAGAAGATGAAAGGATGAGGCCTAAGAAAATACAAAGTCAGAAGAGAAGGGAAATGGGGGAGTTTTCACCTATGGTGCCAGATAAGGCCAAAGGGTAGCAGCCTTGAAGAATTGTCTGACCTTTTATATATATATATATTCTAAGTTTCTCACAAAGCAGACTTTCAGAGGTATGGTGGGAAAGGGGACAGGAAAGGGGCATCAGAATAAGTATTTATCTTCCTCGTAAGCTCCTTTAATACCTGCTATCTGCCCTCTTGGGAGAGTAAGAGTCCAGATTCATCATCTATATTAACCACTGTCAGAAAGATGATTTTATTTTACTTAGGGTAAAATAAAAACACCTTTCAGAAAAGGAGTTTCTATATGCTGTTGTTCCTTATTATACAAACCCAGTGGTACAGAGGTCGTTCAGAATTAAGCCATTTCCCTGCGGACTAGTTGATGTGTGCTGAGAAAGCTATCAGCCAGCTTTAGTAAGCTTACTATAATTCTAAGTTGCGAGCACTGGCAGGGTGTTCAATGAGGTAAAGCACTGAATTCTCATTTCTCTATTATCCCAAAGCATTCCTTTTACTTGTGATATTATTTTAACGAATCATTGGATCCTGTCTTTTCCCTTACAATGTTTTATCTTTTAGTGTGGTGATAGAAAATATCCCTGCTGCCAAAAAACAAAAAATAAACCAACCCGCACACAGAAAACACCCCAGCCCTCCAGAAAGTACACACTGAATCCAGATGTGGCTGAGATGCAGCTTGGGGCTAAAGGAAAGGTTTGGAGTTTAGACTGAGTTGGAAACCTCCTCCTCCTACAACATTCTTTGTCAATACATACTGTATCTTTGATGTATGTCAGATCCAGTGCCTATCTTCCTAGTAGAGAGGGAATTAAGTCGGTCTCTTTCTTTCCTTACTTTGTATGCTGACTGGCCTTACTGCTAAACCCCCTAGAACAGCAGATGGCAAATAAGTGCTCAACCCTTGCCCTTGGCTCCCGGATACCTCTTAGACTGCTTTTGAAAGCAAAAGGCTTCTCTGGAGTTCAGTATGCTCAAATTCATGGAAATGACTAAAGTTGGTAAACCTAGATAGAGTATTTATGCAGTTTTGATAATATTCTTTATATTCCATAAGGAAGCATAATATTAGAAAAGGATATAGCGCTGGGTTAATTTCCTTACTTCTTCATTTGCAAGGTTCTGGAACATTATAAGGTTTTCACATTTGCATTGATCATGGTTTTCTTCCAAAGGGCTTCCTGAGAAAGCAGATGGAAAGTGTTCACCTCTGTAATCCACCAGACTTCCCAGATGCATAATAATAGGACTGAATGAGCATATGGAGGAAACCATTATGAAAGAAATGTTCAACTTTTTCCATGCAGCCACATCCAGTAAATACCAGAAAAGGGCCGTATATGCTTCCAGCACCAGAAGTGGCCATTCTTGTGGATTAGTGGGGAAAATGACTAGTTTATTTTAGTTTATGTTTTTAGTTCTCATTTTACTTAAGTTCCTTCATTTCCTGTATCCTATCATACTTCCTCCTTTCCTTTCCTCCTGGAAGCTAAGTTTGTTGGCAAGCTGAAAGTCTGGAATCACATTATCTTACAGTAATTTTACTTGGAATTACCTGATGATTTTGTTGAATGGAAAAGTTTTTGTGTAGAGTGTAAAAGATTGTCGTCTTCAAACAGGTATCGGTGTTGCACTGCAAAATTAGAACAGGAAAGTAGGTCTTGGATATTTATGGTGATTGGCTCAGATTCTGTAAAGAGAAAGATGACTGGAGTCAAACCTGCTTGACACTACTGTGGTCATAAAACAGCCATCAGCAGAATAATGGACTTGGTCTTCCTAGCACGTGAGACAGAGCTTTACTTTGGGACATACTGTGGCAAAAGATTGTCAGCAGAGATGCTAATTTCTTATTTTTTGAGGAAAAAAGACCTTAATTAACATATCTTAAATCTTAATTTCACTTCTTTACAACTTTTATCTGGAGGCAAACCATGGTAGAAGTACCCACCAAAGATTCTAAAAACACTACTTTTTAAAATTACCTGTTGGCTGGTGAACTCTATTTGGTGGTTCCCCTGCTGGGGAGTCCTGTCTTCCATCAGAGGCTTCTAGAGCTGAGCAGAAAAAGATGACCGAAAGGAGTGACAGTGGTCCACATGCACGCTTGTGTTCTTCAGGAAGCTGGTCCCAGACCAACTCCTCACCTACCTGCCCCATAACCCAGGGTTTGTTCTGTTTGGTAACACCGAAGATTCAAAAAAGCAGTTGGTTGCTGTGGTATCTATGACCACTCCAGGGCATTTCTCTCTAGTAAGAGAAGCCTACATCCCTTACGTACATCTCACTAAAGAAAGCTCCCAAATGTGTCATGTCTGTAAAGCAGGACAGACAGAAGAGCGAAGTTGAAGGGTCAAGTCACAATGTCAACAGCTCTACTTCAGGCATTTTAACTTGAATGAAACAGCCAAAAAGCAAAACGTTCCCTATTCACAGAAATCTGAAAGGCCTTCCCTCCCTAGTGCCCCTTCATCTCAGAGTTCTCCTTTTTAGAGCAGTAAGACACAGCCCTTAGGCTTGGGTTTTACTGGTGACTGAACCTGGGGCATGAGTAAAAGGGAAAAATGGGCATAACTGCTCTCTGCAAGTATACCTGGCACCATTAACAAACTGGAGCAAAGCATACAGAACAAAACCTGAATTCTAAGGCCAGTCTAATACTCTGTGAACAGGAGTCCATGCAGGAAGACATTCTTTAGGTTTTCGACAGTGGGCTTGGAAGGACTCCCGTCTCTTTCGCTCTAATAATAGGCACATCTGAACTGCTCAGCTCTCTGGGGTGTTTGTGAAGGTGAACTTGGTGGCCTGTTTACACACTCATCACACTGCCGGACAGAGCAAGTGCTCAAGCAATGGTGCTGTTCCTTTTCTTTTGCCCTCTCTTCCCTGTTCCCCTTTTTGTACTTTGTGTTTCCAGGGGTCACTGGCCCTGCTCAGTGGAGCACTTTGAAGGAATGAATGGAGGGTTTCTCATTCAAGGGTTCATGCTGCCCTGTTCTCTAAGGTCTTTCCTAGACCTAAGGTACAGTACCTTCACAGATGCCTTGCTTTAGTTTTTCACTTATCTGCCCCATTGTGGTGAAGTCTTCAGCATAGAAGAGATGCTTGTCTGTGGGCTCAGAGGCGATCTCTTGTAGTTCCTCCTCAATGGCTTTTCCTACCCCAACGGCATACATAGTAATACCTAAGGTACAGAGCAAATTGAAACAAAGGCAGAGTTGAAAGCTGGTGTAGTGGGGCACACCTGTGTCCCAGCTCCTCAGGAGGCTACGGAGGGAGGATCACTTGACCCCAGGAGTCTGAGGTTGCTGTGAGCTATGCCACAGCACTCTACCAAGGGTGACATAATGAAACTGTCTCAAAAAAAGAAAGTAAGTAAAACACAGTAAGAATTAAGTTCTGCTTGACTTCCTACATTTTTCTGCACTGATAATCTTATTCTGGCTAATTCAATACCCTAGATTTTTTTAAAATGCATATAAAAATGGCTCTTCAAGCCAAGGGGCAAGAGTTATGCCTTGTTCTAAGTCTGTAAAAGGTCAATAGCCAAGTTCAGCATATTTGTCTGGGAGCCCAGTAACTTTATGCACAATTTCCTAAAAAGGATAACTATTATTTCAAGACTGCTAGCTGTCTATAAGAGTAATTAAATTCATAACAGGATATTACTTCAAATAAACCTGTTGATTCCAGAACCAAATAAACACGTTTCTCCTACCACCTGCCTTTGGGTGATCTGTGGAATTCTGAATAGGGGAAAGTGTAAGGTAGATTAGTCTCAGTGAGACAAAAGGGCTAACCACTGTCTCTGGAGACCAAAATGTCTCCCCAATACTTTTTTTTTTTTTGAGATAGGATCTTGCTGTGTTGCCCAGGCTAGACTGAAGTGGTACCATCATAGTTCACTGCAACCTCAAACTTCTGGGCTCAGGGATCCTCCTGCCTCAGCCACCTGAGTAGCTGAAATCACTGGCGTATACCCAGCTAATTTTCCTATTTTTTGTAGAGACAAGGTCTTGCTATATTGGTCAGGCTGGTCTTGAACTTTTGTGCCTCAAGTGATCCTCCCACCTCAGCCTCCCCAAAAAGCTAGGATTACAGGCATGACTCACCATGCCTGGCCCGCCAACACTTTATTTATTTATTTATTTATTTATTTATTTGAGACAGAGCCTCAAGCTGTCCCCCTGGGCAGAGTGCCCGTCGCATTACAGCTCACAGCAACCTCCAACTCCTGGGCTCAAGCGAGTCTCCTGCCTCAGCCTCCCAAGTAGCTGGGACTACAGGCGCCCGCCACAGCGCCTGGCCATTTTTTGGTTGCAGCCATCATTGTTGTTTGGCAGGTCCTGGCTGGGGATTCAAACCCGCCACCTTAGGTGTACGTGGCTGGTGCCTTAGCCGGTCGAGCTATAGGCGCCGAGCCAACACTTTTTTTAAATACAGGCTAGAAGGGCCCATGGGTTTGGCAAGCTAGTGTACTGTGAACAGCTATTTTTATAATCCCCCTAGATGATTTAGAGCAGGACACTTTTTTTTTTTTCTTCAGTTTTTGGCCGGGGCTGGGTTTGAACCTGCCACCTCCGGCACATGGGGCCGGCGCCCTACTCCTCTGAGCCACAGGTGCTGCCCAGAGCAGGACACTTTTTGTAGCTACCACTCTCTTGAGCTAGAAAAAAAAAAAGAATGAATAGGAAGGTAAGTAGTATCATTAAAATGAGCAACTTCACAAAGGTTGAATGTTCATGTGAATCAGGCTTTATGTGAACCCCATGGGATTGCTAATAGGTTCATTCCTTTGTTCATTCACTCAGCAAGTAGTTGTCACACACATGTGTGCCAGGCCTGATCTAGGCAGTAGGTCCATAAAGTCTTGGATGAGGCCTTGGGCTAGGCACACCTTATTTCCCTGTATAGGACCTGCTAGAGCAGTGTGCCCTCAACAAGCACTTAAAGAAGGTGGCTTTTCTGCTGACAACATCACAACCTCAAGTTTTCTCATCTCCCTCAAGGAATCTAGAAACTGTCTCTACCAGCCAACCATCCTCGCCTTTGGATTTCCTTCTGCCAAGGGCCATACTCCTCTGTCACACTTCACATCTATACAAGTGAAATAACCCCCAAGTCCCTTCCTGTGTTATGCACAAGGTCAGGAAACCCTCAGGGGAGAGGCTGAGCTTTAGTAAGCTGCAAGAACTTAGAATCATAATCTATTCCAGCATTTTGATTTTCTTAAAAGATAACTTCTGCTTCCTTCGAATAGGTGAGCATTCTCTACCCTAAGGCTATTTATTGCACTTTCAGAGTGTTCACTTGAAACAGGGCTTAAAAATACATGCATATAGAGAGAGAGAGACACACACACACATGTGTATATATATACATATATATAGACACACACATATATATACAGAGGGTGCCCAAAAATGTATACACATTTTAAGAAAGGAAAACTCTGTTAAGTTTGTAATACTCAAGTCACATTTGACTTCTGCAATTACAGGTAGAGCTCAGGGTGGCTTGTATTCATCTTTTGTTATCAGTATATATTTAGTATTACAGTTTTGATACAGTTTACAGTTTTTTCCTTTCTTAAACTGTGTACACATGTTTTGGGCACCCTAGGTATATATAATATATACTCTCTCTCTCTCACACACACACGTCAGTAAAGGCTCCCACAGGAATCTAGTTTTCACAGGCTCTTCAGGTGATTCTAAAGCAAGCAAACCCACATTTAGGAACTGTTGTGTATTTGCGGTTAAATAGCATACCCAGGGGTGATTCTCTCCACTGGAGGTCACACACTAGTTAGTAAATCACGGAGATGATTACCTAGTGTGGTCTAGGTAACCTCACCCTCCAGTTGGCTAGACTTTCTCATCTTTTTCGAGTTTATTTAATTCCTGCGGGGCCCCACTGAGGCCTCTAGGTGGCAGTTTAGTAAGGGTGTGTATAATCATGGTTGACAGGAAACCTTTCTGTATTCTCAAAGAATCTTACTTCCGTGGCCAGCTGGGACTATTCAGTGAGTTCACAAGATCTGAGCCTTAAATGGTATTAACCACACCTCCATCCCATATTACCATTGGCCTTGGCTTTATTGGCCCACTCGGAGACGTCATCCTGAGCCCGTCCATCAGTGAATACGATGACCACTCTGGGCACCCGTGCGGAGATGGGCCTGGCCCCTTCTACTTGAGTAAAACTTCTCTCAAACATGTGTTTCAGGGCCAGCCCAGTCATAGAGCCCTTGCCCATGTATTTCATGTGGGCTACAGCTTTTTTCATGTCTTTGGCTGAGTTGAAGTTTCTCAGGGTAAACTCTGTGCGGACCTGTGTGGAATACTGGAGCAGCCCCACTCGAGCAGCTTTGGGGGAAATTGACAAAGAATCTATAATCCCAGTGACAAACTGCTTCACAACCTCAAAATTCTCTTCTCCAAGGCTCTTGGACCCATCAATCACAAAGACCAAGTCAATTGGGCCTTCGGTGCATCCTACAGAAATGAAAGTTGACATAGTTAACTAAAAATCATTTATACACAGGAGTAAAAGAAAATTATGCTTCAATTGGAGGCATAACCACTTTGCAGAACCATTTTTGATTTTTAACTAATACTTAGGACAGACAGAAGGTGTTGAGAGGGTCACAAGCAACCTATGCTTTTATGTTTGGCTTGTCAAATTGATAAAAACTATTTCTCACAAGCAAAAACACACAGCAGATGTACAAACTTTCTAGGAAACCAAGTCCACATTGAGCCCTGGAACCCTTGACAGCAGGTCTGGGAGGGGATGTGTATAGTGTACACTAAAAGGTCTGATGACACCCAGGAGCTTCCCATCACTGCTCCAGCAGGGTGACATTACCCTGGTGCTGACTTCTGACAGACGATGGAGAAAGAGTTTTTTTTTTTTTTTTTTTGAGACAAAGTTTCACTTTGTCAGTGGGTATATGGCTGCCCCATATACCAAGGGTGGCGGAGTTCAAACCCACCCTGGCCAAACTGCAAAAAAAAAAGAAAGCTTGATCAGATTAAAAAAAAATAAAGCAGAGCAGAGCAAATAAGAGATTAAAAAAAAAGTTATCATAGCTTTAACCTCTCAATATATTTTTTCCTTTTTTTTTTCTTTTGTGGGTTTGAAATTTCCCATAATGTTCAGAAAAATCTTCTCTACTCTGAGAAATACTAAGTTCAATTCTCATTGAAATCATTCTTTCGAGATTTCTTTTGCTATTCTGCAATTTTTTTTGTTTGAATTTTTGATCTATCTTTCTCTTCCTAAAGTACCAAGCCTGGAACTGAATGTAATTCTCCAGCACAAAGCAGAGACAATCCTACTGTCCTCATCCACACATTCTTATTCAGCCTAAAATCACTCTAGCCTCTGGGCTGATAATGAACTTAGTGTCAACTAAAACTGAAAGCGTTTTCACAGGTGCTGCCCTTAAGCCCTCCCATGAGCATTTGTATACCTGCGTTTTCATTTATGAGGGAAACAGAGGTGAGGGATTTGTGTTGCCTGAAGATAACTCCAATAGCAGTTGCTGCAAACCAAATGAAAGCAGAGAGCCAAGTTCAGATCACTTACTTTTGCACCGTCTTCCGTCCTCAGCTAGAACAAACCCCTCTGAGCATTTGCAGATGTAGGAATTCCCATTATTAACACAAGTGTGCTCACAGCCATGGTGGGTGGATTTGCAGACATCCTTCCCTGAGGAAAAGGTACGGAGTTGAACAATCCTTTCAGTGTATAAATGGACTGCACTGAATAGTCATGTAAGGAGAAATCATGGAAACAACTCATTTCTAAGAAAATCCATCTGTGTTCAAATCTCCTCCATAACATCCATTTTAGTCTCGTACTCAGGGCAGACCATAAAGAAAGATGCTCCTCTCAGAAAGAGCTCCTCTGGCTCTTACAAACTTGAATGTTAGGATGGGTAATTGGATGTCCTTGATTCATTATTAAATTTTAGAATTGTTAAATGTGCTTGAGCTTCCAATTTTTTTCCCATAAGCATCCCAAACACTCCAGTTTTGATTGTCTAATGAACATTCCTCACGTATGAGGTACTTCAAACTCTTCAAAGCCTTTTAATCCTCACACTATCCTGTGAGAAGAGGAAGGCAAGGGTAATTATAGCCAACACACAGGTGAAGAAAGAGATCCTCGAAACCTCTCCCTGATGCCCGAGGTTATCTGGCAAGGGGATGACAGCTGAGGCCTCATGTCTCCTGAGTCCTCCTCCTCCACAGCAGGAAAGCCCATGGCTCTTTTCTGGCATTAGCCCTTTCAAAGGAAAAGCTTCACATAAAATCACAATCAGTGACTGCAGTTCCCCACTAGAAGTGGGACTGGTGGAATTTGTGCCTTGTGTCCCATAGGTTAATTTATCAATAAATATGTTGAATGAATAAATGGTGCATGTGAATGTGCACAAGTTAACAGAAATATAAGCATGAATGAACAGCCCAGGCAGACATAATGGGCAGAATTATAGACACGGTCTCCACAAAAGGGATACTGCAGTGTGTAGCTAAACCAAGCAATCCCTGCAGAGGTGGGCCAGGCTACCCTAGGCAAACCAAGAGTCAGTAGTTCAAACAGAACTTCTTGCTAACAGTGGGAGGCCCTCTTCCCAGCATTAGTAGGAGGCAATGAGTTCCATCCAACCCAGCTTTGTCAGCATGTGGGATGTTCCCATTTATCTCAAAGGAGTGCAATATTATTTTACATGTGTTTATAGGTTTTCATCCACAGATCCTGACTCACAACTTCCATTGCCCTTGTTATAGTGTTTTGTTATAAGGTGGGGGCACTATAGGTCCCAAGAGCAGGCCTCAGGAAACAGAATCTCTGATCTTCTCCTGTCCTCCTTTCACCCACCCAAGACAGGACTCTAATCTGATCATGGGCTGAAAGATTCTCACTCCAAGAAAGTGTCCTGCCCCATATGCTACAGGAAGGAATGCCACACAGAGAGGCCTTGCGGATGAGATCTTGTCCTTTCTGTCCAGTCATGATTCTACACAGTTGTCAATCATGCCCGTGCAATGAAGCCTCCATAAAACCCCACAAGGATGGGGTCTGGACAGGTTCCAGGGAGCCGAATACATGGATGATCCTGGAGGGTGGTGTACCCCGGGCACCCCGGGAATGAATATTCCTCACGTATGAGGTACTTCAAACTCTGGGCCCCTGTCCCCCATATCTCACCCTATATCTTCCCTGTATCTTTTATAATATCCTTTATAATAAACCACTAAACGTAAGTAAGGGGTTCCCTGAGTTCTGTGAGCTGCTAACAGCAAATTAATTGAAAAAAAAGCAAGGATCATGGGGCCTCAACTTGAAGCTGGTCAGTCAGAATTTCCAGAGGGCTGAACTTTCTTTTTTTCTTTTCTTTTTTTTTTTTTAAGAGACAGAGTCTTACTTTGTCGCCCTTGGTAGAGTGCTGCAGCATCACAGCTCACAGCAACCTCCAGCTCTTGGGCTTAGGTGATTCTCTGGCCTCAGCCTCCCAAGTAGCTAGGACCACAGGCGCCTGCCACACGCCTGGCTATTTTTTGTTGCAGTTTGGCCAGGGCCAGTGCTGTACTCGCTGAGCCACAGGCGCTGCCCAGAGGGCTGAACTTTCAACTGGTCTCTGGGATGGGGAAAGTCTTGAGGACTGAACCTTCAATCTATGGGATCTGATGTTATTTCCAGGCAGATAGTGTCAGAACTGAATTAGCGGACACTCAGCTGGTGTCTGCTACTTGGTGTGTGTGGGGGAATTCAGAGAGAGAACAGAGGGAAAAACATAGTTTGAATGTTTTTGCCAAACAAGAAGTCTGTAAGGAAATCCCCCCAAATCAACCTCCAAAGCAAATTATTTTGCTTTAACTGAAAAAGAGCCATTTGCTCACTAGACAGAGTGTCACAAAACCAAATAGACATTATCAAGCCTCCCCCAAATATAGGATCAATAGCTCACAATCTCACAGTGTGGACAAACCCCTCCCCGTGCTCTTCTAATCCCCACCTCATTGAGCCAGTGTGCCAGGTCCCTCTTGTCCTTTAAGTACTGCGAGGGTTGGTTTTATATGGCTACATAGTGCCCTTGGCTACACTACAGAGGGCCCAGTTGTTTGGTCTAATACCAGTTGAAATGATGCTGGGGGTTACGTTTCAGATGGGATTAATCCATAGACATTGTGTAAAGCAGATTATACTCCATAAAGTAAGTAGGCCTCACCCAAGTCAGTAGAAGGCCTTAAAGGAAAAAAAGACTCAGTCTCCGAGGAAGAGAGAGGTCCCCATCCAGGCTGCCTTCAGGCTTGAGCTGCAGCATCAACTGTGCACATTGATTAGATTAGTTGTTGATTAGATTAATGTGGTTGATTAATCAGTTGATTAGATTAGCAAGTTGATTAGATTAGTTGTTTGATTAGATTAGTAGGGTTGATTAGATTGATCAGTTGAATAGACTAGCAAGTTGATTAGATTACTCAGTTGATTAGATGAGTGTCGTTGATTAAACAGTTGATAGGATTGGTGTAGTTGATTAGATTAGTGAGTTGATTGGATTAGTGAGTTGATTAGATTAGTGTGGTTGATTAGATTAATCGGTTGAGTAGATTAGTGAGTTGATTAGATTGGTGAGTTAATTAGATTAGTGTGGTTGATTAGATTAATTGGTTAAGATTAGCTGTTTGATTAGATTAGTGGGGTTGATTAGTGTGGTTGATTAGATTGATCAGTTGATTAGATTCGTGAGTTGATTAGATTACTCGGTTGATTAGTGAGTTGATTGGATTAGTGAGTTGATTAGTGTGGTTGATTAGATTAGTGAGTTGATTAGATTAGTGAGTTGATTAGATTGGTTGGTTGATTAGTGAGTTGATTAGTCGGTTGATTAATCAGTTGATAAGATTAATCGGTTGATAAGATTAGTTGTTTGATTAGATTAGTGGGGTTGATTAGTGTGGTTGATTATATTACTCGGTTGATTAGTGTGGTTGATTAGATGAATTGGTTGGATTAGTGTAGTTGATTGGATTAGTGAGTTGATTAGATTACTCAGTTGATTAGATTAGTGTGGTTGATTAGATTAATCGGTTGATTAGATTAGTGAGTTAATTAGAATAGTTGGTTGATTAGGTTAGTGTGTTGATTAGTGAGTCAATTAGATTAGTGAGTTCATTGGATTAGTGTGGTTGATTAGATTAGTGAGTTGATTAGTGAGTTGATTGGATTAGTGTGGTTGATTAGTTTGGACGGTTGATTAGTGAGTTGTTTAGATTACTCGGTTGATTACATTAGTGAGTTGATTGGATTAGTGTAGTTGATTAGATTAGTGAGTTGATTTGATTAGTGAGTTGATTAGATTACTTGGTTGATTAGATTAGTGTGGTTGATAACATTGATTGGTTGATTAGTGAGTTGTTTAGATTAGTGTTTTGATTAGATTAGTGAGTTGATTGGATTAGTGTAGTTGGTTAGATTCTATCTATCTATGTATCTATCTCCTATAGTCTATTTCTCTGGAGAATCCTGCTAATATTATTTCTACCTAAACTTTCCTAATCAATCTACAGAAACACATGATAGAAAGACTCAATAAATAAAACGCACAGAAAATCCCCTCAGCCCCTTTCTCACCCTTCACCCTTACTTACAAGGTCAAGTAGTAATCACGGTGCCAAGAAGAAAAAGCACTACAATTAACCTTTGGTCCTTGTCGTGAATGCTGACAGAAACTCTAATTCAGTCCATGGGCTAGTCAGGCCCTGAGCTGGGCTCAGGGCATCCCCCACAGCTATTGTGGAAATGACCACCGCTAAGGGAAACTGAAAAGAAGCTGACAACTCAGGACCGTGACTGTGACATTCACATTCAGTCATTCACATTCACAGAACTGAGGGTCCACTGAACTGCTCTCTGGCAGAGTTTTCTCTCTGCTCACTGTCAGAGTTCCTCTTGGAGAGGAACAGGTATTTGTAACATCAGTAATAAAGGAAGATTTAAAGATCAAATGAAGTTTGATAACACCTCAGTCCCACAGATGGGAAAGTCCTTCTCCACCTCAAGGCTACTTACTTCGGCAGTGTCTCCCATCCTCAGCAAGCCGGAATCCTTCCAGGCACTTGCACGCGTATGACTCGCCACTGTTCACGCACATGTGTTCACAGCCGTGGTCTACTGCTTGGCAGACGTCTTTCCCTGAAGACAGTAGAGCAAGTTAAAACAATATCACCCACATGAATTTTCCATGGACTTCACCTTGGAGGAGCCATCCATCTCAGCCACTCTAGTGCCACTTGAGTTCAGTGATTCATGGGACAGAAAGATAAAACTAAGAATAAAATTTAGCGGCTCTAATTCAGGCTAACTCTTCAAACTTTCTCACTATCATCACCATCATCATTCACCAGCACCTACTTTAGTGTCTCATAAAAATGCAATCCATCATCAGCTTTCTGCAGTTTCTGATATCAGAATGGAAACCTACTGGTATGATTACTTAGGAGAGTAAACCTCAGTTTAGAGTAACAGCACTGAAATATAATTTTGGCTTTGTCCCTGATGTAATATATGACTTAGGAAGATCGCATAACCTCTTGGAGTCTTAGTTTTGCTTTCTAAAAAATAGTAATTCTGGTTACCCATCTTTTTTTAAAAAAGTATCAACATGAGTTGTTCTCTATAAAGTGCTTTGAGAAACTTGAGAAAAAGATAACCGATAGGGATAGAAATCGTTTGCTCAGGGTCACACACTCCCCTTTGATTATGCAGCAAAGTGTCTTGAGACTACCACTAGCAATTCACTCTACGACTGCTTGTCCCAGGCAGACTTGTCACAACCCCATTTAAAAGGCCACGCCTTCTGGAAGCAAAAATGGACTCATCACAAGGTGCCCTCCGTGAGGGATTTGTGCTACCAGAAGTAAGAATATTATTACATACGAATAACAGAGGATCAGAGAAGTGGGCAACTTTCCTAGCTAATGAATGGAAGAAACAGAAGTTGATTGAACCGTTGATTTCTTTTTTCTTTTCTTTTCTTTTTTTTGAGGCAGAGTCTTACTATGTCACCCTTGGTAGACATAGTGGTGTCACAGCTCACAGCAACCTCAAACTCCTGGGCCCAAGCGATTCTCCTGCCTCAGTCTCCCAAGTAGCTGGGACCACAGGCATCCGCCACAATGCCTGGCTATTTTTTGGTTGCAGTTGTCATTGATGTTTAGCTGTCCCGGCCAGGTTCGAACCTGCCACCTTGTGCATGTGGTCAGCACTGTAATGACTGTGCTAAGGGTGCCGGCCTGAACCTTGGATTTCTGACTGCACGTCTTTCCACTGGAGCACACTGCTAAACCACTCTTTCTTCCCACAGAGCATATAAATGAGCAACTTCAGCTGTAGCTCTGGCATTGAGTATTTTGCTAGTGCATTCTTTAAACAAACTTTATTTTTTAGGGGAGTTTTAGATTTTCAGAAAAATTGAGAAGATAGTACAGGGAATTCCCATCTACCCCACACTTAGTTTCCCCTATTTTAACATGTTACCATAACTAATGTATGGCACGTTTGTTATAATTAGTGAACCCATATTGACATTAACCTAGTACCCTTTTCTGCCCCAGGATACCATCCAGGATACCACATAACATTTAGCTGTGTGGTGTTGAATTTGAGAGTAACTGGTTTATATAGAGACTGGGATAGTGGGTTTCATGCCATGGTCTGACATAGTAAAACGAGCCAGCTCCAGTAAAAACTTACTTCTGCAGGTTTTCCCATCTTCACGGAGTGTATACCCTTCAAAGCACTGACACACGAAAGAGTCTCCACTGCTTACACAGGAATGTTCACAACCGTGGTCCCCCAAAGCACATGAGTCCAACTCTGGGAACCAAATTGGAATTAGAGGAACATAAAAAGAAGATGATCCATATAATGTACTAGTGCCTTATTCAGTCATAAAAGACATTTCAGATACCTTATCTAGATCAATGCCTTATCCCACAGTGAACATTTCAGAATAGAAAGCATGTCTATGAGAAAAATTATTATTATTATTTTTCTCTGGAGACAGAGTCTCACTCTGTCACCCTGGGTGGAGTGCCGTGGCATCACAGCCCACAGCAACCTCAAACTCTTGGGCTTAAGCGATTCTCTTGCCTCAGCCTCCTAAGTAGCTGGGACTACAGGCACCCGCCACAACGCCTGGCTATTTTTTTTGTTGCAGTTGTCATTATTGTTTAGCAGGCCCAGGTTGGGTTTGAACCTGCCAGCCTGGGTGTATGTGGCCGGTGCTGTAACCACTGTGCTACAGGCGCCAAGCGAAAAAAATTCTTAATATATACAGAGCACATACAAATCTAACAATACAATCATCTCTAAAAGGAAAAATGATCAAAAGACATGAAAAGACAATTTACAAATGGAAAGATATAAAAGACTTATAAATGCTAGAAAATACATTTAATTCCATTGGCAATCACATAACTTATTATCAACTTAGCTCATATATGTGTATATATCACACTTAGGTAATCCATTCATTCACTTATTTAGTCAGTCAAGAAATACAGGAGAGCCTCTCGAAGTTAATCACCCAAGGTACTGTAATAAACTGGTCAACATCAGAGGTGGCCAACATAGGGCAGTGGGTCTACTGTACTAATACATATATGTGGTGTATGTCCAACCTAAGAAAATGAGGTCACCCAAGGAGATGGCCAATGGAGGGCGGTGGCCACCTGTAGAGGTTCAACTGTACTTCATCAGTCCCTGCAATGAGCCAGGCACTGTTTTAGGTTCTGGGGATATAACAATGAATGAAATAAAGTTTCTGCTTTTGTGAAGTTTATATTTGACAGTGGGTGTCAGGGGAAGTGGGGATGCATGGAAGACAAACATTAGACAAATATACTATGACGTGTTATGTGGGAAAAGTGTTTTAGGGAGAGAGCAAGATGCAGGGGATCGAGCAGCCCCTGGGCTGGGGCTGGGGCAGGGATGGGAACGGGGCTCATTATTTTATAGTGAAGTCAGATAAGGTGACAATAAGCAGAACTCTTTTGCGGAGTGAGTGGTGGTGTCTGAGAATTAGCAGTACCAGAAAGAAAAACAGCATGTACAAACCACAGAAGCGGGAGTGTGCTTAGCACGTTTCAGGAAAGGCCAGGAGACCTGCGATCACAGCAACCTGGAGTTTGGCAGGGGGAGGTGGCCAACAAGGTCAGCAGGGACAGACCACATGGGATTCCCAGATCCGAGTGAGAAGGGCAGTCACTGAAGCATTTTGAACAATAGAGCAACACAATCTGACTTTATTTATTTTAAATTTTTATTTATTTTTTTAAGACAGGGTCTCACTTTGTCACTCAGGCTAGAATACAATGTTGTGATCATAGCTCACTGCAGCCTCAAACTCCTGTCATGAAGTTATTCTGCTTCAGCCTGCCAGAGTGCTAGGACTACAGGTGTGCACCAGCACATCCAGCCAATTTTTGTACTTTTTGTAGAGATAGAGTCTTGCTGGTATTGCCCAGGCTAATCTCAAACTCCTGGCCTCAGGTGATCCTCCTGTCTCAGCCTCCCAAAAGAGAGATTACAGGTGTGAGCCACTATGCCTGGCCTGACTTTGTTTTAACAGCCTGATCTGCACAAAGTGGAGCGCAGAGAGTGGGAAGCAGCCTTCTGCAAAAATCTTGGTGGCCTAGGCTGGTGAGAAGTGGTCAGACTGCAGCTAGATTTGCTGATGGACTGACTAGAAGAATCCAGATGGACAGAACAGAAAAGCCAAGGATGCCTTGACACTGCTGGCCTGAAAGAACAACCAAAGGATGACATTGTCATCCACAGGAGTGGGTAGCTTCTTGGGGACTAGACTATCTGGGACCCAGGCTGTTAGTTAAAAAAACTTGTGACTGATGACCAGTGGGCAGTGACTTTTTATAAGAACCATACAAATTGCTGAGCATTAACTCAATCCTTTCTGATGATGTAGAATTTCTACAGTGGATTCGAACTGAAGTTATTAAATAGAGGCACCAAAGCACATAATGACCTTTAGAATTAAGCACAGACCGTACACTTCTTTTTATAAGGCATTTTTGCAGTATGTCCCTTTGGAGAAGGGTCCTCAGAACCACTCTGCTGGTTAGTTAAGGTAGCTGTTGTTATTCCCATTTACCAGCTGGGGAAACTAAGCTTTGGGAAGATGAATGGTGTGCCAAGAAGACTAGCTGTTAATACGAGGAAGACCCAGACTAAAAATGTTATCGTATGACAATAAATCCCATGTTTCTTCTTACTACACTCCATTGCTATATTCTAAAGCTTTCAAACATAAAGGGAATTTTGTTTTTCTTTCTTTGGGCTGAAGCACTGCCAAAATCTTTGAACAATGGGAAAACGTCATTAACTGGAATTATGGCTGCAGAAGAGATTCAAAGCAGAGTTGGACCCTCCCGTTTGCCCTGAACGTGACTTACTGTTCTGGGCACATTCTGGACTCATTATAAACACGGAACATCTCCCGATGGTTTGGGGGGTAGTTCCTCATGTAGTGACAGTGGAAAGTACAAGTAAGTGATCCATACTACAGATGGCTGGCTGGCTGTGGGACAGAGCTTTTTCCCCTATCATGAATTTATAGTAAGTATATTCCATTTTCTAAGATCATAAAATTGATACAGCTCTTTCAGATCAGCCTTCTCAAACCATAATCCAGAGAAACCCCTCTGAGCCCATCTTTCCTTCATGGATCGTCCCCTGGACCCCATGCTGAGCCTTTAGCCTCACCTCAGGTTTTTATCTTGAGGGGGCTTAAGAGTGTCCCCCACCCAAATCCCCAGGCTGATATATGATTCTTTTTAATTTTTTTTTTTTTTTTGAGATGGGTCATGCTCTGTCACCCAGGCTGGAGTGCAGTGGCACATTCACAGCTCACTGCAGTCTCCAACTCCTGGGCTCAAGCGATCCTCCTGCTTCAGCCTCCTGAGTAGCTGGGACTACAGGCACGCGCCTCCACACCTTTCTTTATTTTTTGTAGAGATGGGGGCCTAGCTAAGTTGCCCAGGCTGCTCTCAAACTCCTGGCTTCAAACAATCTTTCCATCTTGGCCTCCCAAAGTGCTGGGATTATAGTCATGAGCCACCACACCTGGCCTCCATTGTTATTAGTTTATTAATCCTTCCAGCACTGTTTTATGTGAATAAAAGTAAATACAAGTGTATGTTTTTATTTTCTCCCCTTTGTTATACACACAAAAAGTGGTGTGCTATAATACCCCATTCTGTGCTTTTTTGTTTTTCACACAGTGGTATTTCCTGGATATGCCTCTATATATTGCACAGAGGAATTCCTCATTATTCCTGTAGCTGCATTGCATACAGTATTTATTCAGCCAGTCTCCTATAGTTGGACACTTGGGTTGTTTCCCACTTTTGATTATTTTTAAACAATATGCAATGAATAACTTGAAAGCATATTTTTTCATAAAGTTCAAGGGTTTCTGCAGGAGAGAGTTTCAGAAGGGAAGCTTCTGGGTCAAAGGTATATTTTGTAACGTGGGTAGATACTGCCAGATACTCCTCCATAGAGAAAGTACAACCCTTAATACATTTGGCTTTTGGATCATGCCCCCTTTTTACCTTTAAAAACACCTGCAGGAGATTCTGATGATTATCTGAAACTAAGAACTCATCTACACCCACTCTACTCTCTTGATCAGATGCTCTGAGGGGATAGGAAGAGAAAGATTAAAAGCCAAAATTCTCCACCTGCTTTCAAGGCATGCACACAAGAAAAATTCCAAACAGCTACTGATGTGAAAGCCCAGAAGAACCGAGACACGGGCTGAGAGCTCCTGGGGTGACCTGCCAGGAGTGAGGTCACCACAGCCAGGGGTGAGGACATGCCCCTATGGGCACAGTGCCCCCCCCACCCCAGCAGCCTCCTAACAAAGGAGAACAGCATCCAGGTGCCTTCAGCCTGGGGTACAAGAGTTCATCTGGTAAATGTTCCTATGCCAGGTATTATCCCTATTTAGAGACTGGAAGGGACGTAGGAGATGAACTAGTCTAAAACCTTCATTTAGAGATGAGAAAACTAGTGCTCAGGGAGGGGAAGTGATCCCTTCACCTACAGGCACGATGGTCTTAGCTGTCCTGGGGTCAAAGCAAGACCAGATCCAAATCCATACTTCATGGCTCCTGGTTCAGTTGCCCACCCTTGGGTCATTTGAGCTCAACAGGGTGTGGACAGCCTGCTAGGTTCTCAAGAGACAAGCTAAAATAGTTGTCGCAGGGGAGACTGGCCTCCAAAAAGTTTCCTGGAACTCTGCAGGCCCTGGGTGATATGTCCCACTGGCTCCCAGGCTCATCTTTCACCAGCTTCCCTCTCACTCGGGACACTGCACTCTCTGCAGTTTGCTCTCTGGCCCTGGGCCTGCACATGCTGTTTTCCTGGGAAGCGCTTCCCCTGTCTCTGGCTAGCTCACTCTGTGTGCTCTCCAGTATGGTGTTAAACCTCTTTCTCAGGACTATGGGAGGCTCCCCCAGCACCCCTCCTTCTTCTGACTGGACTCTACCCATCTTTAATATCCTTCTTCCCAGGGAGACTTTAAACTCCACCAGGGCACAAACTGAATCTGTGTCAACCCCAGGGTCAACCCCAGACCCTGCCCTGCAGGTACCCAGTGAATACCCGTAGAGAATAAGAATAAATGAACCAAGAGCTTAAGGAAGTACTAAGACTCGAACCCAGAGAGAGACAGACAATTAGGAGCCATCACTTAAATGAAATGGATGAGAGGGCTCAGGAGACACTCCTCTTTCACAGTTAAGGCGGCAGGTCCACACATTTAATAAAACCATCAGGTGTGAGATTGGCAATTTGTAATCAGGACAATTAGAAGTTTCAGGATATAGCAGAAGTTTTTTTGGTTTTGTTTTGTTTTTCTTTGAGACAGAGTCCCACTCTGTCACCCTGAGTAGAGTGCTGTATCACCATAGCTCACAGCAACCTCAAACTCTTGGGCTCAAGTGATCCTCTTGCCTCAGCCTCCTAAGTAACTGGGACTGCAGGTGCCCACCACAACGCTTGACTAGTTTGTTTTTAAGTAGAGACGGGGTCTCACTTTTGCTCAGGCTGGTTTTGAACTCCTGAGCTTAAGCAATCCACACACCTTGGCCTCCCAGAGTGCTAGGAGTAGCAAAGGTTTTTAGGAGCCATGTCTAGCAGCCCCACACATCTGGATTATACATCTGGTGAGTCACATATGTCTGGTGCAGCAGTTCTGGGATGAAGTGTTCCATGGGCTCGCACCTCTGAAGTGATGACAGACAGCAATCCTGTGTCTGGGACTCCATGTAAGAGGTTATTAAAATCAACCCCAGCCTCAGCAGGAGAAAGCCACAGCAGCCATCTGCCAAGAAGGTAACCAAAGGCTGATAGGATTATACCACTTCCTGACTTTTCTTATAATGAAACTAGAAGCCACCAGTCCTTAGCTCACTCTGTATAGGCTTTTTCTTAGACAAACTCAGAAGCAGCTCAACTGAAATGTGCTTTTCAAGGGCATCTCATACTAGGCAAGAGATCCTGAAGTGAGGGGACTCAGGTTCCAGTCCCAGCCCTGCCACGGACCCCCCAGGACCAGCATGGTGCATCAGTTTCTTCCCTATGCCTCTTTCCCACAAAGAAACAGAAAATCTCTAAGCTTCTATCTGTTCCATCAAGGCTTTTGAGACAGAGTCTTACTTTGTCACCCTCAGGAGAGTGCCAGTGTCATACATAGCTCACAGCAACCTCAAACTCTTGGGCTCAAGCCATTCTCTGACCTCAGCCTCCCAAGTAGCTGGAACTACAGATGCCCACCACAATACCCAACTATGTTTGAACTCCTGAGTTCAGGCAATCCACATGCCTCAGCCTCCCAGAGTGCTAGGATTACAGGCATAAGCCACCACACCCAGCCCTCCATCAAGGCTTTAAGGTGACTACATGAGGGCAGGGGTAGTCCTCTCCCTTTACTCTCTGCTATGGACTAAATTGTGTCCCCCTAAATTCATATGCTGAAGCCCTAACCCTGGAGATGATATTTAGAGATGGGGTGTCTGGGAAGTAATTAGGTTGAGACAAGGGCCTGAGAGTTGGGCCCTGATCTGATAGGATTTGTGTCCTCATAGGAAGAGACCAAAGAGCTTGCTTGCACTCTTGTGCTCTCTCACCCCATGTCCCCTGCCATGTGAGGACATGGCCAGAGGACATGGTGGGCTGTCTATAAGCCAGGAGGAGGCCCTCACCAGAAGATGGCCATGCTGGCACCCTGATCTCAGACCGATGGCTTTTAAAACTGAGAGAAGTCAATTTCTGTAGCTAAGACCCAATACCCAGACTATGTTATTTTGTTATGGCAGCTGGAGCAGACTAAGATGCTCCCTTAGCCTTGCTCAGACCCACTTCATCCCAGTGCCCCCCAAACCTAGGCCTGGTCTCTATGCTTCAGAGAACTTTCCAGAAGGTGAGTGACAAGTTCTTTAGACCACCTGCTCTCAAGGCTATGAGTGGAGGCTACCTGTATAAAGGGCAAGGATACCCTCGCTGAGCCAGGTGTGGCTGATCCCCTACACGGGATCCAAAAAGGTACACAGTCACATCATCTGGTTCTTGGCCATCTGACATAGAACTGGGAACATAAATCCCAAGCCCCAGTTAGTTGTGGCCGCATTGAAAACCCACCCCATTATTACAGGATGCAGCAGTCAGACTGAATCATTCCAGCCAGACAGAAAGTCTTCAATTAGGGGAATAGCTCAACGCCTTTGTATCAGCTAGTGGGCAAAATGTGACTGTCTTATACCACTCCCGAGAATAACTCTAACTCATCTGATTACCTCACAAGTTCTCATATAGACACAACCATATATAAACAATCATATTCACTGTAATTGCATTGTAGGACATTGACTTATGTGGAAGATGTCGCTGTGCCATTAGTTAGAAACATACTTTAAATAAGAAAACGGGCAGCATTTAGAAGTGACAAAGGCATAACCCAGATGTGGACCTCAGCAGGGGAACAGGGTGGGCACAAGATTAAAGGAGAAAGGCCTTCAGTCTCCTGGAAGGGTCCACGAGAATTTCTTACAGGTCTTACAACCATCACATTGTCAGTTCTAGATCATCACAGTAAAGAGAAAAAGAAAGGGCATAAATAATCTAAGATGATGGAGAATTAAAGCAAACCAATGAAATCCCTTGCATCTGGCTCTGGCCTGTAGTCAAATGGAGATGCAAATCGACATGGCCACCCTCTTTCTGCACCCCTGGCGCCCGGTCCCTTCCCGAGCTGGCTGAGGCAGCAGTCTGGAGGCAGCAGGGCAGGGAGCCACAAGCAAGCATAACCCATTTGCCGAGATTCAAGAATCTGTCCCCAACTGGGCAAATATTTTCTCAGGCAGCACAGTTAGAGAGGCATGGCAGCTGCACAGACAGCTCCTCTGCCCATATGAATGGATGATAATATGAAAAAGCAGATAAATTAGATTGTGCCCACTATTACATCAGGGGTTGGGGAATTTGGCCTTATAGCCAGACAGAGCAGCAGGATAGTGAAGGTAAATTATGGTCCTTTTCTTCTATTTCTGATCCCGTTTTTCAAAATGATAATATTTCAATTCTTTATCTTGGGCCACTCAGAAACACGACCGCAGGGGCAACAAACACAGCTGCATTCTCCAGTGAGGGAAGGAAGCCATCTGGGAGCATTTTTTTTCTTTTAATTAATAGAGGCAGGAGTCGGGACCAGCTGCAAGACAATATAGACCCAAAAATACTGCTGCCAGCCTCACCATGGGCTGTCTGGTGAAGTGGTCTGGATTAGGGCGGGGGCAAAACTTTCTCAGGAGCCTTGCCTTCTCCCAGAACTGACTTTGGAGTCTCACAGAGCAGAGTTTGAACCCACTTCATAGCTGATAACCTTAGGCTCTTTACTTAATTTGAGCACAGTTTCCTCATCTGCAGCTGAACACAATAGCATGTGTGGTTAGAGCAGTGCCAGTATGTGGCCAGCTGTCAGCGAGGGATCTGCATTATCACTGCTTATGGTATAGAGAGCCAGCACAGAGAGCTCTCAGCATAGAGAGCTGAGAGCTAGGGCTCTGTCCAGCTTCAGAACAACAGTGGAAACAGCAAAAACCATTTCAGGGAGCAGGTGAAGGAAGCTGGGGGCAGAGGAGAAACAGACAGCAAGGCTCTAATAGCAGGGGATGAGTCACACACCTCTGCACAGGCTGGGAAGCCTGGACAGAGGACACACGAGCACACAGGCACCAGCAGCGCATCCACACTCATGTCCACACTCGTGCCATGCCCACAGAATGCCTGTGTCAGGTCCTGCTTGTCCCAGGACCTCAAACACTCACTTGCACATGTTTTCCCATCACTGCGGAGCACATGTCCCTCAGGACACTGGCAGGAGAAAGATCTGTCCGTGTTGACGCAGGAGTATTCACAGCCATGGTCACTCAGCAGGCAGTAATCCACCCCTGTGAAACCAAGGGCCACGTGGTCTCCACAGAAGGGAATCAGGTCAGTGTCACGCCCACTGCTGCTACCACCCCCAGGCATGCAGCCCCCTTTTGACATCCCCATAATCTCCCGGGAGCTGCACAGCCTGCGTCCTCTACGATCATAACCCTGGTTCCAGGGCTGCCACAAACCTTTCCCTACAGGGGGCGCTAGGGAGAGACTCACGGGAGCAGGTCTTGAGGTCCTCATTGATGAGGAAGCCCTCCGAGCACTGGCAGACGAAGGACTCCTCCGTGTTCAGGCACAGCTGCTCACAGCCGTGCTCCTGCTGCGCACAGTGGTCCACCCCTGCGTTTGTCACACACAAAGACAGATAGATGAGCCAAGGGGACACGCCCCATCAGCAATCAGAATTGAAAAACAAAATCTTCTGGGAGGCATGAGGAGCCACAGAGGAGATTTCGTTCTACCCCATGCCACTCGCATCTCTGAAATCAGCCTTGCTTTTCTTTCCATTTCTTTAAAGAGTAAAGGCTTACACCTCCTGCATCTGGCGAAAGTTCATGACAGTGCACTCAGTCACTGCAATCTCAGACAACACTGGGAAGGTGCAATTCTCACTTCAGAGACAGGACAGCCAGTCTTGGGGAAGGTCAAGTGCTTGCTTAAAGCCACGCAGCAGACCTCACCTTAAGAAAGGGAGGTCTGACACCAAACCACTTGGATTCAAATCACACCTCTGCCACTTCCTAGCTGAGATGCTGGACAGTCCCTGAGCCTATCTGTGTCATGGTTTCCTGACTTGAGGAATGAGGATCATGATGGCTGCTTTCCTGTAGGGGTGCAATGAGAATAAGAGGAGTTGATCCATGCAAAGCCCTCAGAACAGCAGCCAGCACACCTGCAACCACTTAACAAATGCTTACTATCATTACCAAGTAGTGCCACATTGGAATTAATTTCATAGTTGCATTTCTAATTGAAAATGAAAACGAAAAAGCGATTTTTTTCTTTACCTCCCTGACTCAAGACTAAACCAGAATCAGAACACAAAATGAAGCCTGAGCCTGCACGTGTGGCCCCTCCTGGCACTGAACTCCCTACAGCTGCTGCCCTAGGCAGTGACACTGAGGGAGAGTGAGCACACAGCTGGATTGAGCAGCTCTCATAGCAGCTTAGCAGGCTCCTCCCCACTTTCTTGGATGGAGAAAATGCACCCACAGAGACTGGACAAACACTGGAGGCCTTGTGGAGGGCCTCTGCACTCCTGCAGGGTCTGGGACCAATGCCTTCTGGAACATTCCACTGGAAGATACACCTACCGCAAACACAGGATCTTGGGAGCCACATCCTGTGTCCACATTCTGGTTCTGCCACTTACTAGTCACAGAACTCTGGGAATCTTTTGTGCCTCAGTTTCCCCATCTTTAAATAGGGACAAGATGGAGATGCTCATAAGGTTATTGGAACAGAGTGAGTCAGAGCACAGGAAGTGTTCACAGCAGTGGCTGCATAGACTGAGCGGCACTATGGCCTGGGGCTCCCTGAGTCCTCAAGGGGAGCAGAAGACCCTGGCTTCCTCTAGGGCAGTGGTTCTCAACCTGTGGGTCATAGCATTAGGAAGGCTGAGAACCACTGCTCTAGGGGCTCCTAGACAGAACTGGCTTGTTTATACTTCATCAGAGTTAACTAGGTCCCCGGGAGAAAGGAGGGCCCTGGTCTCTTGTGGCCTGTCCTCTGAGCTCTTGTAGCCTTCCAGGCATGCTGGCAGAAAGAAGCAGGCAGGCCATGTCCCCCGGTGGCCCAGGTGAGATCAGCCAGGTTGCACCCAGCCTGTCCTGAGAGGTCTGCCAGGACCATCTGCCTGGAAAAGTCAGGATGTGCACAGACCCATCGTCACCAGGGCGTGTCCCTGTCCCATGGAAGACCTCCTGCTCCCCACTGGCTACCTGCTTCTCACAAGGTCACAGAGACCTCAGAGGCAAATACGCAGCAGGCTCTCTGGCTTTTGAACCAACCCTCTGGTTCAAAAGCTCTCTGGCCTCTGAGATAGATGCTAATGCTTCACTCCCTGAAGACTAAAGGAGAACACGTTTCCCTGCTCTGGAGCTCCGACTTCATCTGTGAAACTTCCCTGCTGGCAGTTTAGGGCTTAAATGCTCAACAGCTGTACTGTTCTCCCTCACAATCTATCTCTGTCTCCAAAGCAGAGGACATGTGGGGCTTGCTGGGTGGAAGCCTCACAAAAGGCTCCTTCTGCACAGGCCATGTCATGGAGCCCCTGTCCCAGCATGCCTGGGTCGTGGGATCCACCGCAGCGCTCAAGGTTCCCACCCTGCTGGCCTGGACCAGTGGCGACTATGCCTCATAAAACACGATGGAACCTCCCAGCTGGCAGTGCCTGCGAGTTCCCATGTGCTTACATCACCAAGTGGAGCTCATTATGGCTCTGACACAAGAAAATTAAGAAAGGCTTCACAGATGGTCCCACTATTCTCAGCTCTGCCCTCCGATCAGCCTGTGTAGCCCAATGCTTTCCAAGATCTGTCCCTTCTAGCTTTTTGTCCTAGCCTGGGGCAGGGGCTCTGGCCACTCTCACAAGCTCCATAAACTGTTCTTTTCTTTCTTTCTTTTTTTTTTTTTTTTTTTTGAGACAGGGTCTTGCTGTGTTGCCTAGGCTGGAGTGTAGTGGTATTACCATACCTCAATCTCTTGGGCTCAAGCAATCCTGCTGCCTCAGCCTCCCAAGTAGTTGGGATTACAAGTGTACACCACCACGGCCACCTAATTTTTCTATTTTTAATAGAGATGGGGTCTTGCTCTTGCTTAGGCTGGTCCTGAACTCCTGGCCTAAATTGATCCTCTCAACCTCAGCCTCCCAAAGCTCTGGGATTACAGGTGTGAGCCACCACACCCAGCTGCAACCAACTTGACTTGCTACCAAGCACCAGGCTAAGACACTGAAATGGTCCTAATTTTTCCCCATTAAAAACCCTGGGAGAGCAATACTATTATTTTTCTTTTTAAAAATAGATAGAATAGGCCAGGTGTGGTGGCTTATGCCTATAATCCTAGCACTTTGGGAGGCCAAGGTGGGTGGATTGCTTGAGCTCACAAGTTTGAGACAACCTGAGCAAGAATGAGACCCCCGCCTCTAAAAATAGAAGTACATTGTGATGGGAGCCTGTAGTCCCAGCTACTTGGGAGACTGAGGCAAGAGGAGCACTTGAGCCCAAGAGTTTGAGGTTGCTGTGAGCTATGATTAGAGCACTCTACCAGGTGCAAGAAAGTGAGACTCAGTCTCAAAAATAATAAAAATAAATAGGAAATCAAAGCTAGGAGAAGTTAAATAACTTGCCCAAGGTCACACATCCAGTGTGTTGTAAAGCTTGCAGTTGAACACAGGCCTGTTTTAGTAAATGCTCTCCACAGCAAATAATGCAATAATGATAGCTACTAATACTGAGTGTGCCTAGAGCACTGTTCTAATTGCTTTACTCAAATTAGTTCTTTTAATCCTTACAACTCTACCTACGCGGTAGGTAGTACAGTCCCATTTCACGGATAATGCAACTGAGGGTGAGGAAGGCCACGCCAAAGGGACGTTCAGGACAGCCGGGAGCTCCGCGTGGAGCCCTGCCCCCAGCCCCCCACACTCACGGCGGCAGGTCTTCCTGACCCCCCCCCCAGCCCCCCACACTCACGGCGGCAGGTCTTCCCGTCGGCGTCCAGGGCGTAGCCCCGGCGGCAGCGACAGTAGGCGCCCTCCTCGGTGTTCACGCACTCGTGCTGGCAGCCTGGTCTGTTCAGCGCACAGTAGTTGATCCCTGAGGGGAGAAAGGGAAGCCCCTCCCTCAGACCCCAGGCTCCTCCGGGGGACCCCTGTGGTCCTCCACAGAGAGAGCGAGTGGTGCGGCCTACTGAGCAGACCAGCATTCATTCGGTCATCCAGGACCTGAGCTCTGTGAGATGGGGATGTGACACCCGCTGCAAGGTTCACGCTCCAGAGGGGCAGAGAGGAGCAGCAGAGCGAGCCCTAGGCTGGGGGCCACGGGCGGCAGGGTGGGGGTGCCTTCCCAGAAGAGGGGCTAGCCAACTGCGGGCCTTGAGGAGGGGGCATTAGACAGGTAAAGGGGGCCAGCGGCCGCAGAGTGAGGACTCGGGGACAGCCAACGCAAAAGCCTGGGCATGAGGGACCACCGGCACATCTGGGGAGCTGCAAGGAGCTGCCAGCCTGAGGCTGGAGTGTGAGGACACAGGTGGGGTTGGGAGGTGAAGGGACAGTGGAGCAGGACCCTGCACTCCCCGGAATGGAGCAGCAAAGGCTCTAGACAGATGGCTAGAGGGGGGACTGACAAGGCCAGGGTCATGCTTGAAGAAGACTCCGCAGTCGAGGAGAAGCCAGGCGGACTGCCGCACACATTTAGCGGACAAAGTGCTTCCCAGAACAGACAGCATGGCTCCTCCCCTCCTGGGGCATTTGAAGAGAGCCTGGCACCTGCAGTGTGCCTCTGGGTTCCCCAGCACTGAACCTCCCCCTCTTCCACGGCAAAAGAGCTAAGTCAAGGCTCAGTTGAGTTGAGCTGATGGCCAAAGAGCTGAAAGCTGGGGTTCCAAGCCATACCGTTCCAAGAACCTATACCCTTCCAAGAAAGATGGAAAAGCTAAGAAATCCTATCCATTTCTTCCTTGATCCGTAATGTTCAAAACACATAGGGAGCTTTTGTCTGCAGCAACCTCTGACAGCGATGTCAGACAGCATGAGACAGAATAAACCAAAGCTGATCTTGCAAAATATCTATGTCTTTAGGGGAGTCAAGAAAGGACAGGCAGGCTCGGTGCCTGTGGCTCAAGTACCTAAGGCGCCAGCCACATACACCAAAGGTGGCGGGTTCGAATCCAGCCTGGGCCACCAAACAACAATGATGGCTGCAACCAAAAAATGGCCGGGTGTTGTGGCGGGCACCTGTGGTCCCAGCTACTTGGGAGGCCGAGGCAGGAGACTCGCTTGAGCCCAGGAGTTGGAGGTTGCTGTGAGCTGTGAGGCCATGGCACTCTACCCAGGGGGAT